CAGTGGGAGAGGTGCTAATGTTCTGACCAAGTAGCTTCCCTGCTAGATGCTAGCATCCTCACCACTGTCACGACATTTAAAAAACACTGATAGTTTGGCCCAATTTTCAGACATTTTTGGGGTCAACATCTGTCCATCTTTGGTTTTAGAGGGAATTGTAAGACTTGTTGGGAAGCTTTTATTGCTAATGTGGCATGTAGTCAACCTGTCTTTCCTCTGAAAAACGAAGCTGAAAAATGAAGCCTACACGTTAGTGCCAAAAACTTCAGTGCTTCAATGCTTTCCCTTTGCTAATTTTTGGATAAGCCGGGAGTTAAGGGCAGAGTCAGGCACTGCCATGATGGCGACGGCGGAGCAGCCCACTCTGAGCATGAAAACCACATCTTCATATACGTGCAGTCTATGACTCTGCTCTGTTTGTGTGGGGAGGGGCCTGGACACACTTGGTGAAACAGAAAGCAGAGTAGAGGAGAGAAACACATAAATGCACATAAATTATATGACATAAATAAAATATTTTGTTTTTAAATTATTTTTTTTTGTGTCAACCAAAACAATAAAGTTGAGGATCATTTTGCTAAAACCTGCTGTGTTTGTGAAACTGTAAAAATACAACCATGCGCAACATTTATTGTTCATACTTAATTGTGAATTGGTAGTCAAATGATTTATACTGTGGATCCACTCCTCTCATTTCAAATTCCCCATCATTTCTTAATTAAGCTCTCTTTTCTCTATGAACTGAGTCAGCACACTGAATATGAACTGCGAAATTACACTTAAGCTTGGAGGATAATAAGAAAGTCAGGTGGGATTTCTCTGTTGCTGTTGTTCTTTCTTTTTTTGGAGGAAGATGTTTGTGCAGCAGACTACCCCTTCCCACTCAAGTTGTTTTTTAGATATTGTTAAAGACGATAGATGGAGGTGGTTCTCAAGAACACAGGTAGCTTTAAAAAGCACAGTGCAACCACAGGTGGCATGAGAAGATGGAGGACAAAATGATTCAATGTTAGATCTGGCTGTACAAGAAACCTTCCACCTACACTGCTACATTTAAATGTGTGATTTAGAGTCTATTTTCTCCTCTGATTTTTCTGGCTCGCTGTGACCATAAAGCCACAGCTTCATTTGGAATGAAGGCAATGGTGAGGATGCTATAGGAAGTGCAGAGTGGAGGGAGTCGTCTGGGACTGGCTTGGCAGGGTGCCACAGCTGTTAATTAAAATTGCCGGACAGGTATTCCAGGATTAGGAGTGGGTGTGTGGTGTAGTGAGGGTGTCTGATGGCCTGAGCATGAAGTTGTCACCTCACAAGTAGTAGTGGCTGCGAGCACTCGATGTGCTAGTTGTTGCCATTTTATCAGGTTGCATTTAGAATCATTTAGAATCTTTACATCGCCATTTTTCTAATTAACCGCACTATTATCTTTTAAGTAGGCAATGATGGCAGGTAAAGTAACTGTCAAGGTTCTTTTTTATCAATATTAATTACATATACATTATTGACATTTCATCATTTAGCATTCACTTGCAATCATTATGTTGTCATTCTTTCTTTTTACCATACTCCTTACTTCTTAGTAGGCGATACTGCAAGGTAACGTAACTGTCACTGTTTCATTCATTTCAAATTAATATTGAAGCAGCTAATGCAGAAAACAGCTAATGTTACTGTCACCTTTTCGTTTTCCCTTGGCATTAGATTTTTCAAGGCCAAATATAGCAGCGTAAGTTAGAGAAAAGTTTTAGTTTTAACAGGAAACTTGATGTTTTACAGCCAAACTTAGCAGCTAATGTTACGGATTTTCTGTTTCCAATTTAATCTTCATACCTTTTTGGGGTGCATGCCCTCAAAAACCCCCAAACAAGCACAGTTTTTGGAACCTCAATATTTATAAAATTCTGCATACACCCTTGCGTTAACTTGTACAGTCAGTGAGCTGGGCACCACCTTTCTGCTGTTAGGTCATTGAGGTCAGTGTTTGAAAACTTGGAGGAGCAGAGTGAGACCAGTTGAGACCATTGCTGAGCGCCCCTTCCCAAAACCACTCTGATATGGCACAAAGTAACCCCCTTTTTCCAGCATCTGTACCAGTCTGTCTTTTACCATCCATTCCATTATTGTACTTAATACTGTGGTCAGGGCAATGGGCCTATGAGAACTAGGGTCATTTGGCTGCTTCCAGGTTTTAAAATCAATATCATTACAGCATGTTTTCACTCCTTAGAAAGACAACCAGTCTCCCACACACTATTGATTATGGGCTATCACTCCTTTAATACCAGCTCCACAGTGTGTCTAAATAGTTGGTATCACAATCTGTCCCTACCTGGAGTGATATCTTAGCCCTCATTTTTAGCTCTTTTTAATTCCTCTACATTGTGAAAAACACTTTGACAGCACCAGAATTATCCCACTTAACTTGTAATTTATTCTATATTATCTTTGTTATTTACAGCCTCAGCACCTTTGAGGTGAAGGACAGGAATTGCAGGCTGCTGAACTACTCCTGTCATCTTTTTTTTTTTCTTCTTTTTTTTTTTCATGGGAGTCTCGCATCCAGTTACAACTATGAATTTTGCTACTATTCCAGTGTGAATTCATGGGATGTGTAGTTTTTGTATGCTAACAAATTAAACCTTGTTTAACTTTGTTACAGAAGCTTGTAGAACAGAGACTAGCTCACACATGACCTCAGCTCTTCGGCTCTCTGTTAGTAACATGCTAGCATTAACAGTTATTGCTTACATCATGTAAATGCACTTAAAAAAACAATCATCATTAGTCTTGCAGAGCCAGCCCACAATGTCAGCCTGACACCCGAGGCTATGTTATCAAAATGGATTTATATTCACATTAAAAGAGCCTTTTTACAGGTATATCTAATTATCTTGTCTAGGCGTTGCCGGGTAACCCGTGGCCCTCCATGTTGACAGAATTGTACAAATCACAGCCTGTATGGTGTAAAGGTCCGGGGAATTCAGCTCCATCCTCTTATCTGAACATAAATGAACTCTGCTCACTGTATTCTGTACCTGTCCTCATCGGAGAGCTTCTCCGTCTTTCTCTTTTCTTCCCACATTCCCACGCACAGAGAGTTATATCACCCCGACTCCCAAACATACACTCACATACGCCCACACACACACACACACACACACACACACACACACACACACACACCATATGGCTGAATGTCAGACAGCTGCAAGACCTGGAGTAATGTGGTAGGGGATTGTGTTGCAGAAAAAGATGATTGTGATGATGTTGGCCTCTTCTCACTACAGCAACATTGAATTCTCTCCTTGCGCACACACACACACACACACACACACATATACAGTATATATATATATATATATATGTGTGTGTGTGTGTGTGTGTGTGTGTGTGGGTGCTATGTGTCAGCATGCAAGCTGAATTGTTATTCTGTACGTGTGTCCGTGTGTCACTCAGCCTTGTGACAGATACTGAGCTGTCATATCTGTCAACTAAACAACAGTTCCACATGCATATTCATCATTATGCTAATTTCACCCAAAGAGCTTTAATGAGTTCACAACATTAACAACTCAGATGAGGTGATGAACAAAAGCTTTGCAGTTTTTTTTTCTCCTGTAATTCTTACTGAGAAAACCCCATCACTGACTGCTAATGACAAATTTATATTAGGCTACTATGTTTTTTCTGTGTACACTAAATTAAATTGTGGGGCATTGTACTGTTCTAAAACCATCAGACTTAAAATGGGTTGAGGAATTATGTGGGCATTCAGCTATTCAAAGTATTCAGCTTATGATTAATTAAAGTGACCCCCAGAGGGCAATTACATTTATATGTCGTAACTGATGGTTTGGTTTATTTACTGTTGTAAATATTGCATATGTAACGCTATAAATTACTAATAGGTTTCTCACCATGACACATAAGTGCTTTACACTCTATAGTAAAAGAAGAAGGAGGAGAAGAATTAGACAATGTGGTGAACCTGTCACCTAGTGGTCAAGTTAAGAAGTGACACAAAAATGTTGTTTTTGCAAGTGGAATGAAGTTTGTGGACAGTTAAGTGCATAGAACATCAATTTGATTGCATATTATGTGATTTAACATGAAAAAAAATGAAAACATTTTTTAAAAAATTAACTAACGGTCAACTTACCAGCTCTTTTGGGGGGATTTCAACCATATTTCACAGTCTTCCTCGGTGGAATTTGCTCTGTTGTCAGGTATGAGTGAGATGAGGTTGAAAGCTCTGAGTAAAGCTAATGAGTAGATACTAGCTAGTTACAAATCAGTGAGAAAGACTAATTTAGAGAAATATTGCATTTACAGGATTTCTTTGAATGAATGTGATGGAATGCCTGATTTTGAAGCTCAATTCAGTACACTCAAGCTTATGTTGGTTAATGTTAGCTAACTTTAGATATTGCAGTGTATAGGATGTTATCTTGAGTCAGCTCACTGCCTTTATGACTCTTCTCTACTTGTGCCACTGTAACACGACTTTCTACAATGTATCATTATCCTGTATCATTGTATTGTTACACAGTTGCACTTAATCTGCCAAAATCTTCAATCTGGTTATTTTACCTATAAAAGGTTTCTCTCAGTTGAAGTTCCAGAAAATGTACAATGTCACAATGTATATTGATTCAGTGAGGTAAGATTTCCAATATTATTGCCCACCCCTGTCCCTGTACATCGGTATTGCAAAAATATTCTTATTAATATTTAACACAAATGACCCATCCCTAATTTGATGTGTCTTTCCATTATTTTCTTTGCTACCTTTACATCTAATTATTTATTACACTGAAAAAATTCTAATATACCATACCTTATTGTCCTGTTTTTAAGTTTAGAGGATAAATGCAGAATTTGGCCAATGCAGGGCAAATATGATTGAGCTCTTGTCTGTTCTTTCTCTGTCTTATGTTGGATTCCTGGGTCACAGCTTAACCAAGAAGACACCCTGACACTGAGTCATATATCTGCAAGTATTTACTCATAAACATCTGACATCTTTTCTCCAGGAATAACATGTTGAATGTTACATGTTGCATGTAATATATTTCCACAAATACAATTAGTCTAAAAGAAAAAAGAAAAGTTCTTGCAAACAACACAGATACATTGTGTATCCAGAACATCATTCAGTACAACACACTGCCATTTCACACAGTGCACACAGAAACAGTTGTTTTGAGTAGCATTTAGTAATACTAAGTTGCAAAAAAAAAGCCAAAGTTTGTCCTATGATGGTCACTCTGAGTAAGTCTCCAACAGGCAACTCTGGTCAAATGCTATACTTGTATTACGATCAGCTGATTATTAACTTCATTGAAGTTGCAATAAAAGAAAGGAAAGAAGAGTGAATCGCATGCAAAACTCTCGCTTGTCCCTTGTGAAATCTGAGGGGAACGGAGAAATGGCATCTCCACTGGACTCTGTACAAAACAGTGAGGACAGAATGACCAAAGACATTATTATATTCACGGAGGGAATATTTCAGACCATCTAAATTATCACTGCGGACTTTTTTTTTTATACAGCCCTCTAATGGTAATACGTTAAATTAATGATGTTCCCATCAAGATTTTATCAGTCTACAATGCTGTGAAAAACCTGGTATGTACAATGCAGTGATGGGCAGTTATCAAACCATCCAACGATAGGATATTTTCTGCTATTAACAAACTATAAAATAAAAAAAATCTTCAGTTTTGCTACAGGGAAATGGACCAATTCTGCTTGCAACGTTTCCCTCCCTCTCAATGCCTTAGTCAGGTACATGTGACCACTTAATGCAAAGATATTACAAGTTGCAAACTTCCTGTGTAGACAACATTTGCATGGAAATTTTAAAGCAAAATAATGACATGGCTGCATATATTAAGGATCCTTTCATTTAAAGTAGCCATTGCCAGTCGAACTACAACCAAAATCAGACAGCTAAGGAAAGAAGAAAGCGTGTCTGAGTATAACTTAACACTGAACAACTCTCCAGTGTGTGTGAGCTGTTTCTGCAATGCATATAGCGCCCTCTTGTGGTGATTTCTTACACTATATCTAATGCATTCAAAGGTAAAAAGGCTAGGGCTGCATGAGTGTTGATGCTCACATAAAGGAAAATACTAAAGAGGTGGAGGACAAGAGTAATCAGTCATATTGTTGTGTGCAAGGCATATCAGAAAATTAAAAATTTTCAAGTCAGCTGTGAAGAGTTCAAAGTCATTCCCTATCCTCTGCATCCGGACTGCTGTAAAAACTCTGTAAAGAAAAGATGATAAATTCTTCTTTTCCAGCTCTTCTGGAAGTTTTGAGGTTTTGTATCTAGTCTTTTCAACTTTATGTCAATTGCTGAATTCGTAGTGGACAGGAACTGCATCTGGTTACATCAAAGACACACTGAACTGAGCAGGAACTGCTTTAGATAAAGAACATTCTGTCCCACTGAGGGGAACTTTGACATTGTGACCTTCGGTTAGTTAATTCACCACAAACATTGCACTTTATGGCAAAATGTTTCCACCTTTGCCCTTGGAGCTGCTCTCTAATGGCTCATGTTTTGGCATTGCTCCGTGAACCAGGGGGGAGGGGGTGGCGTAGCTGGTTTCAAAATTGTAGCTATGCGTGTGTCTGTATATAGGCCTAATACAAAAGGAGACACATATTTTTCCAAGTGTGCAAAGTGTGTGGTGATGACATATATTCAACAAAAATGTATGCTATCTCTTTAACACCAGCAGCCTTTGGGTTGGTCGTCCGCCGCGCTGTCACCGAGTCCCTCCTCTTCCTCCAGAGCAGAAAGATTAAGCTCGTCATTAACAGACATCCGGAGAAGATCCAAGTCCTTTTTATTGGCCGCCAGCACCTGTTCAGCCAATCGTGTGAAAGTCTTGCCACGGGATAAAAGCAAGACGAGAGATAAGCTGCATTTATCAAGTCATTTCCTGCCATTATACAATAATGACCGCATGCATTGCTCGGATCTTATTACGGGTCTGTCATCTAGTCTAATTCCTTTTAACTGACTCTCCAGGTCACCTCACCTCTGTTATGTTATGGTTGGTGAAGGCACTTGTCTCAAAGAAGTCCATTCCATACGCCTTAGCCAACTGCAAGACAGATAACAATGACACATTCTATTTTCCTGATCCTTTTGATTTAGCAGCACAGACAACTGTTTCTTTTCCCCCTTTTACACAGATTTGTTACTGTCTGCTGCGGCCCGATGAAGTGGTGTGTTCAAGTGCAGCTTTTAATGAAAAATGTGAGGCAACACTACTGAATCACTACTTGTCTGCACTTGTTCTTTGAGGTCAAACCGGTGCATCAGGGCTCTTAGAGCTTGTTTATGAACTAGACACCCATGCCTACCCCTAAAATTTTAAATATGATGAGTATGAGCTTTTAGTAAACTCAGGCCCAGTTCTGTCGCAGAATACAAACTGAACCAAAGATTAAAGGTTTTTTGTGCAAAGTTTTCAGTCCAACTCATAGCCTCCCAATTTCAGTTTGTACACATACTGCATAAGTCCTTATTTAATCTTTTATGTTATGTTCCAAAAATGCATCATTTTATAAACATTTTCCAAAATCCAGCCTGACATATTTAGTATCTTTGGAAACTATGGCATCTCAACCAGTCTATAACAGGTAAATAATCATATCATCACTGGCCTCCGGTCTTGAGTCTAAAAATCTTTCGGGGAAATAGTTTAACAAAGAACCAGTGATTGACCCACCTTGATACCTTGCTCTGTGGCCACCTGCCTTTTGTCCACGTCATCTGACTTGTTCCCTACGAGGATCTTCTGGACCTTGTCCGGAGCATACTGCAGGGGTTTGCCATGTGAATAGGGAGGGATATTTACAGATAAGCAAGAGGAATGAAAAACTAAATTAAAGAGATAGGAAGAGAGAGACAGATTTCAAATGTCAAGAGAACAGAGAAGGAAGAAAACACAAGAACGACAGCGCTCAGGAAATGACACCTAGATTAAAAATATGTAGGAAGCGTGCCAAGATCAATAGTGTATATATTCGGATAAGCCCACAGAGGAAATTAGGTCCATAATGACTAAATTAATAGAATAAAATGGGAAATGGCAGGGGAAGCAGGGCAGATGAGACTGCTTTATGGAGACTCAAAGCCAATAGAAAAAAACAACTGCAAGAGGAAAATTTTCTCCTTCCAAAATTTATGACTACACATTTAAAAAATACGATGACAGGTATTTGAAATTGAAGATGGAACATAATAAACACAGCACAGCTGTCAGGTCAAAGCATTTGGTTTTTATCACACCATGTCAGACATGTGTTCTTTGTCAACTTGGAGCCTCTGCACAGTAAGTAGTTTTGTCAGTTTTGCCCTTTCTGCAATACAGGAAAAAAATGCTTGTTGATTTTCCACTGCGCTTGATTTATCCAATTCTTAAATCCCCAGATCTCCATGACTCACCTCGTCCACATCACTGGCCCACTTCATGATGTGTTGGAAAGATCGCTCACTCGTGATATCATACACCAGGAAGATTCCCTGAAAAGAGATTGTCAAAGATTTAAAAAACAGGTGAGAACCAGTGTATTTTAAAGCACTTTAGAGAGTCGTGTTCTCAATTTCTTGAGCCTTAAAAGCAGTATTTTAAAATCGGTGACATTGATATGATTACTGTAAACAAACCAGACCACCAATTGGAAAATTGGCAGCGTCTACACTGCATTTTACATTGTAAGCGACCGGCTGGGTAAGAAATCTGCTGATTTGTTTTATAGCACGAAACAGGAACAGGATAGTTTTCTTCCATTTCCATTGCCAGTTCCTGGTAAATGGACAATTCAATTCCACCCTCTTTAACCTCGTTAGAAGCCCAAAGCAAAATTCATATAAAATTATGCCAATGTGGCAATGGTTGCGTGTGGCCATGGAGAGCTAGTCATTATAACCTCACGGGGGGTAAAGGGGCGTGCTCTCTTTAATTAGGAGAAACAGTGCGCTTACAATGCCTCTGGTGTAAGACCAAACCCTTTTATAACATATTGCCATGATTTTGACAGTTTCTACGCTCTCAAGCAAACCTCCCAGCCGCCCTCTTTCAACACAAAAGCACCCAACATGCAGTTCAATCTGAGTACCTGAAGTAGTGCCAAGCTTTTGGCATGACTTATTCCTGTAGCTGTGACAAATTTAATTTCAGAAATAAATTAGATTTAAATTTGTTATGCTACTTCGTTGGAATAATATTGCATGACTATGTGGCAAATCACTTGCAGCGACAGAGTAAATGGAGGAGACTTAAAGCCAGCTACCTGTGCTCGTCTGTAGTACTGCTTAGTTATAGTCTGGTACCTTTCCTGGCCCGCAGTGTCCCTGTGCAGACAACAAACATATATGAGTATGCACACACAACACTTGTGAGGCTTTAATATGACAACATAAGGGGCAGTAAGCAGGGTTTTAGAAATACTGAGGTCATGAGTCGACATCCCACAGAAGATTTTAACCATAGACCTAAAATTCAAATTTCATGCTGATGTTAGCATACAGCTCGGAGCGCCTTTGTGCCTATATATGCTGCTGTAGAATCTTGTTAGTCCAATGTTACTGCCAGACTGAAAGATGATAATGCAGGACAAATGTTTTTAAAACTATGACTTCCAGGCTCATTTTGTCGCTACATATCAGCAGCTATAGTAAGTTCAGGCTCCAGTTTATAAAAGCCAACTTTAATTGCAAGTCTATGAAAGGACAGAGTCAAATGTAAACATAGTGAGATGAAAACTGCTGGAATCGGTTTACAAAATGCTTTGCAATGTGCAAGGGTCTCATTGTAGACCTTGAAATTCCTCCAGGTTACTAAAACCCCAAATTTCTCATGACAAATACAAAGGTCGTGACCTCAGTGTTTTCAGTAGATGCTACAGCCCTGAACATAACATCAGACAACTGTAAGTTATGATAGTTGTAGCACATTTGTAAATAAATAATATTCCCTCTGTCAGAACTACCGTCGAGTAATATCTAATAACATTTTGTTCATCTCATGCACAAGGCCATCCCACATTGTGTTTCATTCCAATATCCTACCATATCTGTGTCCGTACTTTGATACCATCTATTACTAGTGTCTTCATTTTGAAGTCGACTCCTGCAAGAAAGAGAGGATATGGTTAGGAAATACAATACTTCATCCACGGAGGAGCTCTGGATATGTTTGATATTCCTCCGGACGTGTGAGCGTGTGTGCTCAGGCTAAAATCCTCTGAATGTTCTCAGAGAGGTGAGTGCTCTCCGGCCAATAAGTGACTGAAATCAATTAGCCCGGCATGTCTTTTACAGACAAAGGTTCATGAGTGTCTGCTGCGGCTTTGTAACATCATAGAGGGCGTTAACACGATGAGAGCCCCATCATCATCCCTGTGTATTCAGCCTGTTAGGAGACGGGGCTAATGATCGGGTGAGCGCGGTCCTCGTTCAGGTCTCGACATCGATCACATCGGAGCTGAAGTATAAGGGAGAAGGGCAAAGCGCTATAGCTGAGCGCTGCATAACACCACAGAGGAACAGATGAGAGAAAAAAGAAGTCAATCTTTGATTTCTATAAAGACTATATATATATATATATAACAAAAACTAAATCCATGATTACTTCACTAGAAATACACTTTGTCAGAGTTCACAGAAAAGCAAAAGCTTACAGGACAGATTAAGTCTCTATCCAGAATAGTGCCACCAGTACTATTCAAGATTCTCCCATGCAGCACAACTCCACCTCCCTTAGAAATGTTTCACTAGACACAGACTCATTTCACTTTTTAATCACATGTTTGTTAAATGTTATAGGCTTATGTGATGTATAAATGTTGTTTCAAGCCTTCCCTCCATTTCCAGGTGTGTAATTCTGGTGGAGAATACAAATCTCTTATTCATTCAGTCCGACAAACCAATTTCAAGATTTCTACTCTAAAGAATATCAGAATCAGGCCTGCATGTTCAAAGCCTATCCAATAGTGGAATGTAAATTCCTTTTTATGTCATTAATCAACTCCAAAATCCTGTGAAATAATACAGAGGACCATGGATATCTGTCTTGATGGGATTTAATCCAAATGCCTAAATAGAGCATCTTTTTTCTTATCTCTTTTCTCTATGATTGTCTCCTCACACTAATGCATTCAAGTCAATAAAAAGCAAGCCCACAAGTTTCTATAGAGCACACTAATCCCTGAGAAATCAATTTACAGTTCATTCCAGTTAACCTGGCACTCAGCGCTCATGTGTCACAGCTGGCATCACGCTCAGAGAAAGAGCTACAGAGTCCGATCGAATCACATAAAACTGCTGTTTGTGGTTTTTATAGCTGCATTTAAAAACCACTGCAAGGTTTATATTCCAAGAGAAACAGCTGACAGGTGTACAATAGCTGGCCCTGGCTGATTTTGAGATTGTACATATTTGTTAAGAACAAGCTGCAGTCAAGCGAAGACCCCACAGTCTTCGCTTGACTCAGTGAGTCTTGTGCTCACTGACTCGACAGCGTGAGGCCTCATTTAAGTCGTGAGGCGGACTTTCTCTTTGACTAGAGAGCATTCAGACCAAGACTAAGTGAAAGGTCAGCATAACAATCAGTGGCTTGCCTTGCCTGAGGCTTGAAGAGAAAGAGGAGAGTAATGAAAAAGAGGCTGTCTTCCACTGTCATTGTCCAGCTGTATTAAGCTCCATTCATCCATGCAAACAACAATGGTTTATATGTGAAATGCAGATACAGACTAATGGATTCTCCAGCTCTACAGTGGGTGTCTAAAGGAAGCAGATGGATGAAATCTGAAAATTTTTTAATGGTTTACCTTTTTCGTTATTTCCATTCATCACGGAGGAGACATTACATACAAAAATGAAGTAACTGAAATATTGTGTTGTTCTTTTAATCTCTAAAATTATAAATGACTCTTATATATGTATTATTTCCCCTCTGTTTTTGTAGGATAAGCAGTATGGCTAATGGGTAAATGAAGGAATGTTTTTGAATTAGTTTCCCCTACTTATATATCAATGCGAGAAGATACAGAAATGAACATATTGTGGGTTGCTATGTACCCCAGTTACCTATATGGATAAGTGAGCTACTACAGGCTGAATCGGTGGGTCACATGCAGAGTAATACATTTAATCAAACTTCATACTAGCCTATACAGTATGAATGTAAGAACATAACCATGGCATGGCTTGTGTCACGTGCAGCATCGAGTTTCATTGAAATCCAGAAAACGATAAATAATGAATAAATACAACACAGGTATATATATATATATATATATATATACATATATATATGCACATTTGCCTTTATATATACACACACTACACTATATACAAACTTGTACCTATACATCCATAATCCTCACACAATGTAGCTATATCACCTGCAGTGTGGCTATAGTTGTGATTGAAGCAAGAGCTCCTGTTGCCTCAGCCTTCATGCGCTGTATTCTTCTTATTCATAATCCCAAAGAAAGAACCTTTAGAACCAAATGAAATGAAAGCCAGAGGTTTGTATTTAGATCACTTGGATATTTCCATCTTATTACTATCATTGCTTTTGATATTGTTATTCCACAGACCAATGTTTTGTTTTGGGTTTTTTTGTTCAATTTCAATAGTTTCAATAAAATAATGTTTAGGATGCAGGGAATAATTACATCCATTATATATGATAAAGCTCTTGTTACTTGTATCCAGAAGGTGTGAACTCTCTGGACATGTGTATGCATGTTCTGGTTTCATTTTGTGAAACATACAGGGCTCTGAGTCAATTTATGCTGGCAACTTTTTCTTGGAGATAAATAAAACCTATGAATAACTTTATCATTTAGCGACTGATGCGTATAATTACGTGAGAAGAACATTATTCAAAACTATCATCCAATCTCTGTTCTGTTCTATGTTCCATACAGTCACAACGCTCGATGAGCAACTCAGTTATTATCAGGTTTTTTTTTTTTACAAATTTGACACAAACCTCCCTCCATGTTTAAAACCTCTTATTATTTCTATGAGTGGTAGTGATTGATTCAATGGAACCCGTGCGTGTGCATGGCAGCGCGCACGTGTCGATTAAAAATAAGAAAATGAATCAAGATGACTACATGGGTAAGCTATATTAGAATAAATGGAAATCATTAGCAAGTCGATTAAACAGTTATATTTGGGAAACTTCAGCCCACAATGTCTGCTTCCAGCTGTTGAACAAATCAATTCTCCACGGGTAACCATCTGATTGCTTTGTATTGTTTTACAACAGCCGAGCAGAATGAGAACAAGGTGCAAACCACAGTGCAAACAATGACTGACCTTAGACACAATGGGCTAAGGCTGGTGTGAAGGTACACAGAATGTCTCTCTATGTTAGAGGTTTGATATTCAGATTGTTCTGGGTGTTTCCATCCCTACACTACAGCACGTGACCCACTTGCTGCACAACTGCTCAGTCTGCAAGGAGAGATTGTGTGGAAAGTCCTGTTACAGTTACTGTTACAGGACGGATTAAAGGTGAATTCGTGTGCTCTGCAGCCAAACATGTTGCATTCAAGAGCGGCCTTCAGTATGTTATTGTTTGGTTTATATTATCGGGAAATAAAGTACACTGTATTGAATTGAACTGTGTCTGTGACTTCTACGTATTTGACTTAACAGTACTTTTTCTGCATAGCAAACACTTCACACCTTTACTTTGCCAAGTTTTGAGAAACATTCAGCTGTTATAAAACTGTTAAATCCTAAGTCACAAAGAACAGCTTTAAAAAAAAAAAAAGCCATTCTACAGCTTCCCCTCTTCCCTTCAGAGGGAAACTGTGACAATGGGGACAACCACGATGTGCACAATATGAGAGACAGCAGTTAATTTAACATGGCAGCATTTCACAATCAGCAGTGTGAAAGCCATGTAAAACGTAATGGGTACACACCCATAACTGACTTGACTAATTACCAGGATGACTGTGTTCGACTATGCAAGACGGATTAGGACATGTGTCAGTGTGCTGTAGGTAATGGTGACAGACTCACTAATGGATGGACGGATGGACGCTCTGGCACTGACACAAATTCACTGGAGAATGGGTCTGTCATCCATGACTATCATTACCGGCTGAGGACAGCCAACAACTGTTAACAGCTGTTGTCTTTAGGCCACAGCAGGATCAAGGATAGACATTTTCATCAGTTATAAACTTGTCATCATTCTGTGCAGTTAAACTTTCTAATAATGAAATGAAATGACGATTTCATACCAGACCAGTGTTACACAGCATTTCTGTTTAGATCAGGATTTTGGTCAAACCCATGACTGAATTTAAATCCCTTCCAAAGGGAGAAGACTGAATGAACGCTGAGAGGAGAAAAACAGTTTAGCAAAAAATTTTAAAAAATCTTTTAGCTATCCAGGAAATGAATATAATTTTGATTCTATACTTCAGCCTGAGTGATGAATCTGCCAAACTGATACATCAGCTAATATGAGTTTAGCACAGATACATTGGTATTTACATATATTAGGGCCAATAAGTGACAGGAAATTACACTAGAGAAATGCCAAACATCATATATGTCTACGCACATAAGTGATGTCACCTGGTGATCAGTGTTGGATCTGCGCTGCTACTGGCAGAACACACCTGAATCTCCAACCAAACTGCTCGCAGTTGAGTTGCATTGTGGGTAATGTGGACAGCAGGTTTTGACAAAGAAGACTGTGTGGAGAATACAGAAGATGATAAATCTGGTTCTGCTGTATTGATTTTTTTTTTTTTGAATGCCGACCATGAGTCCGACTGTTACTGCATCGGAGTTGGTGGACTAATCTTTTAAGTGCTATGTGAGAAATGAATACTGGGCAATATATAATTATCAGATTTATTTGTATTGACCTAAAATGTACAGATTTGCTCATGTTATATCCTGCACCTTTTGATTTAAAGGTTACATGGAAAAACTTTAAGTGCCAAAAATGAACCTGTTCCTTGGTTCATGGCCTAAATTTTCACCAAATTTAACTGAAATCTGTATTTTTTGGGGGCCATTTTTATGCCTCATCAAAAGACACAGTGGAGAGATGAGAGACGTGCAACAAAAGTCCCCAGCCAGATGCAAACCAGAGATGCCACAGCACATCTCATATCAAGCAGTTTCTGACATAGACTGCTGCTGTAACAAACATGCTAACAAACAAACAGGATCCCAACTACATATAAGATGTAAGCTCACACCTTACAGTTCCTAGAAAGCCAACAGCATTCATTTCCTTGATAACCTGTTTACAGCAGGACGGCCATCTGTGGCATCTGTGATCCATGCCAGGCCCTTTAGACTAATGAACTCATCAAGCAGCAGTGGGCTGAGTGCATGACCAGGCCCTGACCACAACACCACTGGGATCACCACCGCAAGGACAGCTGCTTATTGAGCTATGATATAGAGTAGGGCCGCGCTCGTACTTCATAGGTATTTTGACAGCCGGTAGCTCTGAGGAGTCCGGTGACAAGACTGCCGAGGTAACAGTGACGAAGATTAAACTCTGCAGTGTGACTGAATACCATTACTAAATCATCTCTATACAGCTGCTCTCTGCCAGTGAAATGTGCACTCCAGGGCCCCGCTGAAAATGTTAGGAGGAATAGAGTGACCTGTTGAAATAAAACAGGATACCTGGCTGAGGAAGGGTATGTCAATCGTTCAGGTGAGATCAGAATTCCTGATTCCTGATTATTATTTTATAGTGAGCTGTAACCAGGGAATGAAGCCATATCCTCTGTGGATCCTATTGCCAGATTTGCTATTGATTGTTATCCTATTTCTGAGTATCTCAAAAAAAAAAAAGAAAAGAAGAAAAACCTTAGTGGATCAAAGCAAAGACAAAAATCTTGGCTTGAGTTTGAATGCAGCTCTCGCTCTGTGGTTTCAACTCTCTTTGTTCTGTGCACAAATTCTTTGCCGGTTCGAAGATTACAGAAATAATTTAAAAGACCACAAGACAGTAAAAATATATGGTATATCTGCTGTATTTCATGCAGCCTCTATAGATCATTGACCGTATCACTGTAAAGTTTTCTCTTTGACCAAAGAATACTGTGTTGAACTCTGGAAACAGTGGTAACTCCTGTCCATCTACCTTTGTGTGCTTTTGTTCTGGGGCTGTTTGTCATGACTTCAACCGGCATACAACAACATTTTGCACAATAGAGTGCATCAGTTTGGGGAGGGTCCAATTTCAGCATGACAATACTGTCGTGCGCACATTGAAAGAAATGGTTTTCTGAGTTTGGTCCAGCGCCTCTAGGATGAATCAAAACACAGACTACGATCCAGACCTCATCACCAAAACTTCAGTGCCCGATCTCACTAAAGTTCCTGTGACAGAATGGGAGAAAATCCCTGCAGCCAGCATCTAAAATCTATCGGAAAGTTTTCCAAGAAGGGCGGAGGTTGTTACAGCGGCATTGATGCCGCTGTAACTACTTCAATCAAGTAATGTTTGGGTGTCCACGTGGCTTTATTGAATACAACTCTCTGTGTGTGAGAGAGAGGTCCCAGCAGGTTTTGAGATAATTAAGAGCAAAAAGTGGATGAGTGGACTGTAACAGGAACTGGTGAATAATGGAGCTGCCCATCAGGGGGGCACGGGAGAGAATTTATATCCTTCTGTCACCATGAAGGTTGGGAAATTATTTATTGATCCACCGCAGGAGAGCACTGATGGTGGTCACTCTTGATATCTCTCTCTCTCTCTCTCTCTCTCTCTCTCTCTCTCTCTCTCTCTCTCTGAATTTTGTATTCTTGTTTAGTCTGAAGAGAGGTTTGAATTATCGCAGGCCCATGAAACACCTCCCAGCGTGGCCTATTGACACAGTCTGCTGCCCACAACTATTCAGTCCTGCATGAATATCTGGACTGCTCGGACGCAAGAGATATGCATGTGCAGGCTGAACGTTTCTTCTAAGAGGAATCAGAAAGGCTTGCAATGTACAACATGAGCATGACTCTACAGGGTGGAAGTCTCCTGTAGAGCGCTATAGGAGCACGACTTAAAATAGCATACTGCAGTCTGTGTAAGCATGTGAGCGTATATCACAACTGGCTGGAGCAGGTGGAACAACAAAAGCGTTTAAGATTCAGTGTGATGAGGCTCGTGTAATGAGCAGAAGAGTGGAAAACTGGATTTCTCCCACTGAGCACTCACGAATCATAAAGGCTTTGATTGTACTACCAAAGCTTCCAGGTAAAGGTCGAAAAATAATGTTAATAAATAATGTTACACTGAATAATTTATGGTCCAATTGTATTCTCTGTGTCTGTCTGTCTGTCTGTCTGCAGATCATACCCTGACCACCAGTTTCATGACTCATTGGGAAAACATATTATCTGTCTTTTCAATGAAATCATCCATCACAACCAGAGAAAACACACTTCCTGACTTTTACTTCACCCTCAAGCCACAGGGATTTCTGTATTTTGTCTTCTCCAAATTATGGACAATTACAGCAAACAGTGTCAGAAAGTAGATGCTAACTTTAATTAAAAAAAAGAAAATAAATAAAAAGAGCTTCCCAGGAGAAAATATGTCATTTAAGTGAACACACAAACACGCACTTGGGAGAGGCAGCCCAGGTGCCACAGAGGAGGAGATAAGATACTCCACCACAGCATGTGGAGAAAAAAAAAAAAACATGGCTCACTGTACATCCTTATTTCCCTAACCTCAAAGTGAAGCATGGTAATGTGCCTGTCATGCTCCACACTCTGAATCCAAACTATGCAGATAGATATACTGCACAGCCCTTAACTATGAGCAAAGAGGCTGGCTTAGCTCTGCTGAGCCGATACCATTTCCAGGGATGTGGCAAATCCGTGACAAAGTGTAGAAACTGATACTTTTAGTTGGTTCTACAGATAAAGACGGAGTTGAATATGTCAAAATCAGCCTTGTCACACAAGAACAGAACATCACATTTGTGGTGATAATGATTATCCATAAACCTTATTTTGTTGACTGAGGTTTAGTCAGATGTTTCCAAAACTGACATTATTATTTCATGTTTTGTGTTGAGATGAAATTTCATATGAAAGTCCTTGGCTCATTATAGGGATGATACAGTAAACTATCTAAACATAAATGAAACAATAAATAAATAAAACCATTCATCTCTTTGAGTAGGAACCCCTCAGAGCCCACAAAGGGACACCTGGGGACCCCCCAAACCTCCAGTTTAGCAGATAACATGGGAGCCTGATGCAAAACAAAGCCCATTACCTTATACCAAAGTCAGTGCCAAGTGCTGATAGTTAATAAACTCATCTGCATGATGCTGTGTTTCATCTTTCGCCTCAGGGCGTCCTCAACCAATGCAATCACGTTGATTTGATAATTAACACACTCTTCATTCCACTCCTCTAATGAAATTGAGCCATAGCCTCTTTAAACTTTAAACTGACCAAATCTAATTCATGAAATGTAGATTGAAAATCCAGTGGGCACAAAGAGAGAGTGCTGCGCATATGGCATCAATAGAAAAGGCTGAAAGACCACTGTAAAGCAATAGGAGAGCTAACGAATACAAGTGCAGAATAAAATTGAAGAAATAACTCGTGCTGGCGGTGCGGAGTCTTACCGATGGTGGAGATGTGAGACGGGTGAAATTCGTTGTCCGTGAATCTGCACAACAAACATGTTTTCCCAACCCCAGAATCTCCGAGAAGCAGGAGTCGGAAGAGAACATCGTACTGTTTAGCCATAGTGTTGGATGTAGTGTTGAATTAAAAAAGCCCCGGTCAGCTAACTCAGCGATGGATGACCAATCCCTCCCCACCTGCATCCCATGTCTGCTCAGATAGTCAACATAAAGCTTGGGCTTTGCTTCTTTTTGTTCACTGGTGCTGGGGTCGGTGGGTAGCAAAACAGGGATGCTCCAGCTTCCCAGGCAGCCTCCAGCTTCCAGTGGGTGCGGTGGACCACTGTCAAGCGAAACTCAAAGAGGAAAAAGCACTTCCGGCTGTGCTTTCCAGCATAAAAGCCTCAGTCACTTGAGAACATGTTGATTTTTGTGATTTTTTTGTAGGATATTCGGTAGCAAATAGCATGACTGCATGATTCTATTACATCATGACCATGGTAAAATAAAATTGTTAGTAATTACATTTCACTTCACAGAATTAATTGTATCTGATTATTGTATATATCTGCTGTTTCTGTAATTAACATTCAAAATCTACTTAATTAATTGAACAAACAAACATTAATTGTCATTTGCATTTACAGTCACATCTTCCATTTGCTAAGCATTTTTTTTTTAAATCCTTCAACTCAAGAAGGCCAAAATTAGTAATGGGCCCCTATGTATAAGTTTGAAATTAGTGACTAGTAGTAGTGTGATTAAGGATCTTTTTATTTTGTGAAATGCACCTGCAAGGACATGATATACTGAAATAGCCTAATAAAGGCCTTAAATTATCATTTTAGTCAGGGACCCTCTATAAGATGGGGCCTCAAAGTATTGTAATGGTGCAGGTGTTGCTTTAAGGGTTCCTATAATTTTATGAAAGCCCTTTTCAATCCATCAATTGTACCATAAATGTCCTTTCATCTTGTATAAAAATTAAAGTAGCCTAATGTGTATTAATGCAAGGCTGGATTACTGGGAAATGTGGGCAATCTACCCTGAGGCCCTAGGCCTTCAGGGGCTCCATAAGCCCCAGGCTTATTGTGTAACAGTTTATTTTTTTGTTTGTTTGTTCTGGATTTCATTACTTGCAAATGTATTTGGGGGTTTTAACCATCTTGTAGAAGGGCCATGTGTCAAAATGTTATATCTACATAACCCTTATACTGTATTTACGTGGTGCATTTTCCTAAATAGATATTAATATTTGATATTAAATATTTGACTCATAAGATTACCTCAAAAAAGGCAGGGGCAATGCCATTTAGGAGTACTGGTTGGTTTCTGGATCTCTGCATCTGCAGTTTATGGGAACGTAAAAACAACGGGGGTCCATTGGCAAATTTTGCATTGCAACCACCAAACAGGTTGATTAGGACATTAATGGGGATTAAGGTTTTTATCTTAAACGTTTTCGAGTGTTTATTTTGAAGGGTAAAAGGTTTCATGTTCGGTACTTTTTTGCTTATGTGTGGCTGACTTGACTTCAAATAATACGCGCGGTTGCATTGCTTCTTTCGACGTCAATATGCAAACACCAACGAGAGAATAGGGAAAAAATAAAACTTAACGTAAATAACGTAAATAACGCACACACTGACTCGTAAATGTTAGACTAAAACTGATATATGAACACTTTTACGAGAGGTTCTATACGTATTTGTGTGTGTGCCGTTTTTCGCACTACAGTGAATGACAGAGGTTTGTTCCTTTGAAGACGCCGTAGCGAGTGTGCGCTTAGTTTCCGCACACTCCAACCTCGGCAGGAAGTGAGCGGAGTCTAGTGAAAGTGAGCGAACTATCAAAACAAACTAGGAGCACTCCTCAGCCCCAGCTTCACTACAGATAACTGTTTTCTAGCATCACCATGGACGGTGTACCGACGCCCCTGCGGTGCTTCAGTGAGTGCCACTCCGCGGAGATGTTCGTGGATGACGGGGTGGAGACAGTGACTTCAGTGGAGCAGGTGAGCTTCGTTAGCTAACGTGGCTAATGCTAACGCCCGTTAGGATTGACTTTTTCACTCTGGATGGAAAGTGTGACAGAGAATCAGCTGTCACACGCGCATTATTTATTTATTTATTTTACCCATGAATTGATCTGTAGATTAGAAAAATTATCATTCGTGGTCATTAGCTCGCCGTCTTTTAGCCAGCAATCGCGAGCTTTTAGGTAGCTAGCATTGTACCTTAATGGGATTAAGTTTGAATTACTTATCTGTTAGTACGGTAGGACGCAAAAGGGGTGGGAGACAACATACAATAAGTTACACCAGGTGCATGATAGATCACTAGATCATAAATAATGTTGATGCTTTTTATTTTTAAAATCAACTGTATTACTGCTAAAACTGCGTCTAAGGATTGTTTTTATTCTCGATAACTCTGCAGAATAATTACTCAATCAATCGATTAGTTGTTCTATCAATAAAATGTAACAACCCCCCCTAAACAGATGCCTTCAGATGTCTTTTTTTGTCAGATTCTGGTAACAGTAAGGCATGACAAAGCGTACGTTTGTGAAGCTTAAATCACCATATGTTTGGCATGTTTACCTGTAAAATGACTGAAATGATCAGTTGACAATTAATTTTCCAGGGACTGATTAATCGGCGGACATTTTCTCCCAGATCAATCAAAGTTTAAAATCTAAATTATTTGGTGTTATTAGGTGTAATAAGTGTATTGTTAGTAGTAAGCCACTGCACCCTTTCTCTTGGTATCACCCTTTTTATATCAAGTATAAGCTTATCATACTACAGAAAGCCTCTTCCCATGGCCTTTTTTTATTGAATATTTTTTAAGTCCTTGAGGATGCTTCCAGAAAATATATCATGTAGTGTTTGGATCACTCCCATGATAAATTGTGTTTTTTTTGGGTTTGGTCCCTCACAGGAACTGTTGATAGAAAATACTGCAATTTTTGTATTTTTAAGTCTGATACTGCAGTTTATGAACAAACCATACTTCTGCTCTGCTTTCAGCTAATAATAATGACTAGCTGATGAAAGGCTGAATTTATTATTGGTATTCTTAAGCTCCTGCCGTTCTTCATAATGTCTGTTTACCTTCATCTTTCCTGCCCTTTCTTTTTTCTATAGAAAAAAGTGGAATGCAGCATTGAAGAAGTCATCAGCGTTTACAAGCAAATACACAGCTTACCACAGTGAGTATTCACAGTGTCAACATGCTGTAGACAATCTGTGCTGCTGCAGCTCATGAGCAGTTTCTTTAACAGCGAGTTCTGTCAAACAGAAGCTCAGACAGCAACTGAGGTCGGAGAGTTTTGTCATTGACAGTGCTTTTTTTCCCCATGATTTTCTGTGGTCTTTACGCACAGAATTTTCTGAAATTCATGTTCCTTACTGTGAGTTTCAGACTTGTAAAGTGCATGAGCTACATGATCAACTCGCTCACTTTGGAGACTATTTTTTAACCAGAATATGTGTTGTTGGGCTGTTTCATTAGGTCTGTTGTTTTCATATCCATGGTTGTAACGATGTTTGGCACTGCTTAGTAGTTACTATCATTCACCTCAGATCTGACAAGAAAATTGCCTCCTGGAAATACTCCCTCAGAAAAACTCTGTCCTGCAGACATTATTGTTTCATCCCAGTGTTTTTGTCTCAGCTGTCAAAAGACAACAAAATGTAAACTGCAGTCAATTGGCTATAAATGACACCATTGTTACTGGCATAAGTTATTTTTATATCCTAAATATTAAGACTAAATTACTCAAATATTGTATTTTTTCAATGCACTTTGAGGATATCACAAGCACATCACCTACACCTATTATTTTCACTAAATGTTGTTAAGTTTTTTCCTTAAGAGAGGTGGATCTGTCCTGTTTATGTGTAAGAAAGAGAAAATGAAGTTGCTTTGTGTTTGCTTCAGACATGTGACTCTGTTAGGTCTATATATATATATATATACACACACACACACACATGAAATTACACTAAATTGGCCTGACCCCAATTCAGTACATCATAAAAGCCTTTATATGATGTAGGGTATAAAATGAAGTATACAGAACTACATATTTTCAAACCCAAAAGGTGATAAATTGGTCAGATAGCATGAATCCATAGTAACGATGATCGTCTGTTCATGGGGCTTTCATGATGAATAGCTATTATTAAACATTTCCAAGAACGCTGCTGATTGGCTGTGGCTTTTTTTTTTCTTTTTCTTTATCACAAACTCCTGCTGTTTGCCAGTAGACATGGCTGCATGGAGATGTATGATGGCTATTATCTAAATGATGCACTGATCAGCCCACATACTTTGCTCCTGCTATCAGCTGTCATCAGTCCTCTTTTAATGGGATGACTCATCCTATTTCTATGACAACTGCTTGGACCTGAATGTCGCCGGCACTGTGCTGCCAGTGGGGAAATGTTAGTCACTGCATCGTACGATAAGAAAATTAACGGTGTTAATCAGTGGAAGTCATGTGTTTAGTAGTGATGGTTTGTTTTATGTGGGGTGGCCTGGTCTTTGGGTCAAAAAGGTTAGCTTTCAACGTTTGGTTAGAAGTTAAAATGAGTCTTGAGGTTATTTACAGTCATGAAAGGAAAGAATCCGGGCTGTGGTTATTTTCTTCTCTTCTTACCATAATTTTAGCAGTTTAATCAGAAACGCTACTTATCTGTAGTTTTTTTGTTTTTTTTTAAGTTGATACTGAGATGTAGTATTTTTCAATCCGTATCTGCCCAGGTTAATCTTTGCCAACGTACCCACTGAATCACCTGGTTCATTTTTTCTCTTGTTTATTTGTCAGCGGTGAGTGAGAAAAAAAGATCCATACAGAATTCACAAATATTTTAGAAAGGGCAAGCTCTTATAGAATTTATTTTTTGCCTTTAAATAATAGCGACAGCCCACTTAAACACAATGACATTTCAAACTCTGCCTTCACACATGCTGGTGAAGGCAGCATTTAAGTTCACTGTTGCTATTAATAAAAATGCAAGAAGAAAATTTCTACGACGGGCTGCAGCCAGGATTTTAGAAATCCTGAGGTCAGAACTGAAACTTCCTCCACACTCCCGTGAGAGATGTTTGACAAGAATCTAAGAAAACATATTCGTTCAACTGCAAAGTTGTATTTTCTTACCTAATCGGCTAAATATTGACAGTCAAACTAATATGAGACAAATTCGGTTTTTAAAGCTGATAGTGCAGCTGATTAATGTGAGTAGAAATGGTAAGATATCCGTAACCTTTATTGTTAAGTCTTGAACATCAGAGTATTGGTTCTCATTTTCC